TATTTTATTTATTATAAAAATATATTGTAATATATTATATTATAATATATTATATTTATATTATATATTTATATTATATTTATATTTATATTTATATTTATATTTATATTTTATATTTTATATTTTATATTATAATATAATATTTAAAAATATTAAAATTTAAAATAAATTTAAATTATTAAAATCATTAAAATTAAAAAAAAAAAAAAAACAAAAAAACACAAAACCAGAGAGAGGGCACCTGCCCAGCACTAGCCAGTGGAGAGCAGGGAAAGCTCTGGCTTTAATGACACACTTGGCACAGTGCTGGGTGTGTGTGACAGCCCGTGGGCCACGGGGCATGACACAGCTCCATTTAACACCAGCCTGGGAGGTGATGCCTGCCTGGATTGCTCCTCCAGCCTCCAGAGCCGAGGTGCCAAAGGCTGAATTAATCGTGCCAGTTGGCTGCAGCACAGTTTGGGGCATGTACAGTGGTTAAAGAGAGCCCTCAGTGCACAATCAACCTGCTCCAGCTCTAAATCCCACAGAAGGCTGAGCAGCCTCACAGGTTTCCTTTTGAAGAGTGGGAAAGCAGAAGGCTGCTAAGAAAGCAGTGAATTAATCTTTTTTTTCCTTTTTTTTTTTTTTTTCCACTTCTGTGACCTTCTTCCAGGAGATGCTTCATAATTAATTAACTCTTATACCCCCATGTGAGCCAGGGTTTCCTGCCTCCCTTACATTCAAAGCAATCCTGTGATAAAGCCACTTGCTCAAAGGTCTCACAGGGAGTCATCAAAATCAGTGACAGACTCTCAGAACCTCAACTCCCAGCCTAAAAGATGCAGAAAAACAGGCAAAATCAGGCTGGATTAACACCTGCAGTCCTTGATGATCAGCACTGAACCAAACCCAAACCAAAAACTGGTCTGGACAGGAACTTTTTCACTCAAACCAGAACAACCTGAAGTGGTTATTTGTAGTTTTATTGAAGTCAGACTGGAGCCAAATCAAACAATTTACTGAACTCCTGACAACGACAAGAACTCCTCCCACAGTGCATCACTAGCAGCTGAAGGAGGAGGGACCAGCAACAAACCTAAACAAAAGTGCTCCTTCAAGTGAGATTTCAGCCCCTGGAAAAGGCAGAGAGATCTTTTCCCACTGCATGGACTTTGCTCCTCATTTCTTAGAGGAGAACTGAATCAGTATTTTCAAAAGGCATACACAGAAATGTCTTTTTTAACCCACATGCTGTAAATTCCTGCTGCTCTGCCTTATCCAGCACCCTCCAAGCATCCCTGTTTGGCCTGGCAGATGGGAGCACCAGCCTGGTGAAGGCCTAAACTTGGGATTTCTGCCTTGTTGAGGGTGGGTTAATGATTAGAAGCCTTTTCCTTAAGAATACAAAATAATTTCTTGCACCGAAGTGACTTGTGCCAGAACAAGCCCCATTCTCCCTCGTGTTTACCAGACACAAATGCCACTCATACTTGGTATTCCTCACAGTTGTGAGGAAGGCTGTGGGAGAAGCACAGCAATCAGATCCCAGCCAGATTCTAAAAAGGGAATTTGGCCGCTTTGTTAAATACCAATGCCCCTATTTGGGTCAGGACCAACAGCTGGATCCCCAAGTCCTTCCCTTGTGCCTGGGCTGGCAAGTGCCTGCTGTGTCCAGCAGCTGCCACCTTCCCCTGTCACCAGGGCTCACAGACGCTGCTCCTTCAAGCCTTTCCCTGGATCAGAGGAATTTTCCCCTCTCCCAAGCCTGCCCTGCCGAGGTCCCGGCTCCCACTGGTTTTTAACCCTTTCCTGAGCCCTGTGTGTGCCTGCAGGAAGGAGCCCCGTGGAGGAAGGAGCCCCATCCACGACACCAGGGTGCTGTGTGCTGCTCCCTGCCTCTCTCACCCCAGCTCCAGAGCGATTCCCTGCAGCAAAACAGGCACAGAGCCACAGATCCCACAAATCCCACAGATCCAGCAGCTCCTGGCCCGCTCTGCAGCCCAGCCCAGGTGCTGCCCATCACCTGCAGGAGCCAGGACAGCCCCGTGCCTCAAAAACCAACAACCCCCTAACCCAGCTGCCCGCAGATCACCTCGGGCCGTGGGCAGGGAGGCGAGGGGAGCAGGGAAACAGCGACATCCATGCCCAGCCTGTGTGGAGCCGCTCCTGCCGGAGCATCCCGAGCGCTGCGGGGCAGCAGCCGCGTGTGTCGGGTGTCGTTTCGCTGTCCCCCAGAGAACAGCGGCTTCCAGCAGCACCTCAGGCCTGTTGTTAAGCGCATCTGACACATCCCAGCTCCTTTCCCTTCAATGCCTCCCCAGGAGCTGCGTCTCATTAGGCGCAGCCTCATTACTCGCGTGGGTGCCGCTCCGCTCGGAACCTCGCTGTTAATCTGACAAAGCCCGGGCCCATTGTGTGCTGACCATCGGATACTGGGCAAACACGAGTTTCCCAAGCTCCCGGCACGAATTCCTCCGGCACCGATAGCGTGTGCTCTTGCATCGCTCCGCGGAAACGCGTGGAGGGACGGATGGGGCTGGGCGAGGGTTTGAAGATGCAACAGGAACGGTTTGCTCAAGCACATTCGGACAAAGTCGGGTATAAAAATGAGTTGTCTTCAATAGGATTTCAAATTGAATTCTGCTGTTTGAGAAAAGCATTGCCATTTCTGCGTAAAACCTGAATTGCTGCTTGTTTGGCTTCTCCAGGAGCCAGGTCCCTCCACATTCCCTCTACGTCTGATTGCATTGAAAAAGCTTTTTCTACCTTTAGCTATTTATGGTGAACAAAACGGCCAAAGTGATTCTGCACTGAATCAATTTAAGTAAGCAAATTTCAGTTTGAAGACGTTCTGTTTGATTGTTTGGGTTTTATTAAGAAGTCTCTTCAGTCCGTGGGACAGAGAACAATTCCTCTGTTTGTCAAAATGAGAGTGAAAGTGCCTTGCTCAGTCTGCAGGGTGAAGAAAGAGGTGCATTCTGGACCAAGAAGAGGAAAGACTTAATTCTGACTGATTATCTTTGAGTAATTCTAAACAGCCCTCACATTTATAAATGGGACTTCATCCAACCATTCAGTCCCCCGGAAAAAACTTTCTAATTTTCAAAAGGACTGTTCCAAGAACAGCTCTAAACCTGCTTCCCTCCGCAATGCCATTTGGATAATGAAAGACAAACAATCCATCCAAAATTCAATTTCATATGAAAAATTGCTGAATGGGGTCCAACCCGACAAAAGAAATTCATAAACTTCCAAACTGCAAACATCCAAAGGCTCCTCTGCAGCCACAGGTTAACAGCTCCTTTGGGCTGTCATTACTCTTGTAAAAAGCAAACTAAATTTGGGGAAAAGACATTTCCAGCATCATCCAGCCCTCAGCAGAGGCATTCAAGTGTCCTGCATAGCTTTGCCTTGCGCAATTTGACAAATGTTTGCAAATGGACCATCCCCAGCGCTGCGATCCTCCCAGACAGCCTCCACCTGGAGGGACACCACCGAGATTTTCTAGGCCACCAGAGCAAACGTTTGAGCTGGGAGGTCTCCATAAATCAAACCTTCATTTTTCTCCCCCCCCTCCCTCCCTCCATCAAACTTTTCCTCTTGAACAACTCCTTTTGAAAGCACCGCGAGGAAGTCCTGAATGGCGGAGCTGCCGTGAAGCTGATGTCATCCCTTTTTTTAAATTCACGTGTGGAGGGCTGAGCATGTGGAGGCTGCTCAGGAGAGACTGTTCTAGCACCAGGCAGAAGGGCTGGTACAACTCCCAGCCTTCTGGAACGGAGCTCTCAGCAAGATCCCACCACGGCCCAGCAGGTACAGATATTTTTCCTTCGGGAAGTTCCAGCCTGAGCGGGGTAACCTCTGCTGACCCAAAGACGTTTCCCCGGATTTGATTTTTTTTTTTTTCCCCTCCCAGGTTTTTTGCATGTGCCCCCAGCTGAAAAGCCAAAAAGCGAAATAAATTTCCTCCAAGGTCATGCACTCCTCACGATGTCTTTATTTGCCAGTTGGCGAAGTATTGAAAAAAATGAAGACTTCCGTATTGTGAGAGGAGCTAATGTCCCATTTAAATGTAATAGAGAACGAGAGGAGATGCAACTAGAAATCTAATCACTGCTTCATAGCTAAACCACGAGCTTAGCAGCTTTCTTTTGTGCCCTGAAGGTCCCAGGCACCCTCTCTTTGCAAAGACAATATATGGCACATCCAAATGCTAATCTATTCCTCTCTTTATTTCTATATTCAGCTCCCTGGCTGATAACAGGCAGACGTGTATGTGTTCAATAGGTCCTCCTGCTTCTTTAAATAAGTTTAATAATACCCTTTTTATTTATGGGAGCCTGAAGTACAAAGGATGCAATGCAGGAGCTCTGCAAGAGCAGAAAAGAGAAGAAAAGCAAAGTAGCTGAAGATACAGCCTGGCAAGGGCTCAGTAATTCAACACTGTTGATTCTATAGAGACCAACTGCTTTTATTATGCACAGATTCTCCGAGGGGGGAGAGAGCCCCACAGTTACGAACTTGCAAAGGAAAAGAATCTGAACGTCTCTTGTCTGAGTGCAGAATTGGCTAAAAAGGCAATTTTAAAGGCAGGGCAGCCCACCGGCCATTTCACCCGGCCACTCCGCACAGCTGACGTCTCTCCCCATTAAAAAGTTGTATTAAAATAATATAGCGAGAAGGGGAAATGAAGCAGAGAGCCCCTCCGAGGAGTGGGTGCGAGGGCTGGGAAGCGCCGCTCCAGCTGCGGGATCAGCCCCGCTTCACCCCGCGCTCAGCATCCCCGCCCGCCGCGCATCGCCGGCAGCGAGCGGCTCGGAAAAATCCCTGAAACGCCCGAACGCCCGGCTCCTCCGGGCATCGCCGACACGCTCGGCTTCCCCGGGCATCGCCCACACGCTCGGCTTCTCCCGGGGAGCCTCGGACCGCGGAGGGGCGGCACGGCCGCCGCCGCTCGCCCGCAGCATCCCCGGGGCAGGAAGCGCCCCCCGCCCGCAGCCCCGCGGCCCCGGCGGTACCTGCCAGCGTCTTGTGCACCGTGTTGCCCATCGCTCGCTCGCTCGGCGGCGCGGCGGAGCCCGGGGCCGCCCGGAGCTCCGCAGGGCCATGGACAGCGCCCGCCTCCCGCCGCCGCTCCGCGCCCGCCCCCGCCCCGCCCCGCGGAGCCGCCCCGCCCGAGCCGCGGGTGCCGCTGCTGTGCCCCCATCCTGCCCCTGTGCCTCGCCGGGATGTGCCCCTGTGCCCCCCATCCCTGTCCCTGTGCCCCCATCCCTGCCCCTGTGCCTCGCCGGGATGTGCCGCTGCTGTGCCCCCCATCCCTGCCCCTGTGCCTCGCCGGGATGTGCCGCTGCTGTGCCCCAATCGTGCCCCTGTGCCTCGCCGGGATGTGCCCCTGTGCCCCCTGTTCCTGTCCCGGTGCCGCGCCGGGATGTGCCCCTGTGCCCCCCGTCCCTGTGCCGGTGCCTCGCCGGGATGAGCTGCTCTGACCCGATCCCTATCCCGATGCCTCTCCGGGATGTGCCGCTGCTCTGCCCCCAGTCCTGTCCCGGTGCCTCTCCGGGATGTGCCGCTGCTCTGTCCCCATCCCTGTCCCGGTGCCTCTCCTGGATGTGCCTCTCTCCTTCCCATCCCTGTCCCGATGCCTCTCCAGGATGTGCCGCTCTCCTTCCCATCCCTGTCCCTGTCCCGGTGTCTCTCCGGGTTGCACCCACTGGCACCTGTCGGAGGAGCTGCCAGCCGGGGATTTGGGCCAACACGGGCCCGGATCTCCCCCGAAGCCCCCAGAGACCTCCGACAGACGTTTGGCCTCACCCTCCTAGGGTAAAAAAAAGAATCCTCTTTCTCCCGTGGCACAAGCACACCTCTCCATCGGCAACACCTTCCCGAAGGGCACAGCTGCACTGGGGAGCACTGGGAGCCGACAGAGCTGAGCCCTCTCCCTCTCCGTGCCATTTCCTTGCGGGTGACCTTGGCTAAGCCACTTTGCATCTCGGTGACACGGCTTCCCCACCTGGGCACCGAGGGAATTAGCAGCAGCGTTGTGTCGGCAAAGGCGTGATTAGTTCGAAGCACGGCGGTGACCAAGGACACCTCAGCCCACAGCCGAGAGCTCAGCACCGACAGAATCGGCTCCACAGCTTCCCTCCTTCGGGTCTCAGACACAAAAACACCTTTGGAGCCCCCCCGGAGAAGAACAAGGCTCTCTCCCCACCCCTCCCTCCTCCTGGCCCGAGGGGTGACGATGCTGACAAGGGAGGGTGCCAAGCCTTCCCTCCCTGCCCAGCTTCCAGAGTTTTAAGACTTTAGAATTGGGAGCCTCAGAGCTCCAAAATGTTCTGCAGCCAGCACCTTGGGCTGATGACACGGTGCACAGTGCTGGGGAAAAGTGTCCCCTGGCAGGAGTCACATCTCTGGGCTGTCACAGAACCTGGGACACAAAAGGAGAAGTGGGAAGAGGGGGAGAGCCAAGGAATAGTAGCTCAATAGCCTGACAGAGATCAGCCTCTGATCTATTATAGAGAAGCTAAAATAACAAGCCTTTAATCCCTAGATCATGTTGAACAGGTCAAGTGTGGCTCGAGAGATGAGAGAGGACAGAAAAACCCAATTTCCAGCATTTTTTCGCTATCATAGGGATTTGTTAAAAATGGGATTATTGAGTGAGACACCAGCAGCTGTTCTTAAAAGCGCCTGCACCCATCTGCTGTCTCCTTGGGTTAGCACATGTCTCCCACTCCCTTTGCTGCAGGAGCTGTCAGAGGGCAGCAGGAGCCCAGTGCTCCTCCAGGGGGACAAGGGGAGGGCGGCAATGTCACCCTCTTGTCACGGAGGGGAAAGTCCTTGTGTCACCAGACAGCGGGAGGCTCCGCGAATCGCGGCTGCTTTCCCTCAGCAGGGAGTGGCAGTTGTTATTTTAGGGCTCCAATTCGCCTTCAAAAGCCGGCGGCAGCAGCCGGGGGCTGCTCATGTGTGTGCCGTGTGCGGGCTGGGTGTCACCTCCCTGTCCCTGTCCCTGTCCCTGTCCCTCCTGCCACACCCCGGCCACACCAGCCCGCACACTGCCCGCCCCAAGGGTGTCCCAGCCCTTCCTCCTCCCCAAAACGGCGTAAAAATAGACGACAATGAAATGGGAATGCACATCCTTGGGACACGGAGGTTGCCTGCAGGAGTGCAACCAGCATTCCTGCTCTTGGCATTGTGAAAACGGAGAGTTTGTTAATATAACCTGCTTCTCACAACGCAAAACAACGCTCCTGGGAAAGGGTTCAGCCAGGAGGATTCTCACCCTCCCCAGAAAGAGAGAGTAAAAGAGAGCCAGGACTGGACCCTGAGCAGGGCCTGAGCAGCACTGCAAAGTCAGCCTGGAGAAAAGCAGAAACTGCCCCAAGCAAGGCTCCACAGACAGAAGCTCATTAGCATTTTAAGATTCTTTCTGCTCCAGCAAGTTTTGATAACTCTTGATCACAACACACTTCAGCAATTTCCTCTGTGTGCCTCTGAAGAAATCTCCTTCCCTGTCTGCCCTGGCTGGCCAGGCACAGCCTGACCTGCACACACAGCTCTGCTCTATCTGCACTCCCAGAAACACAAAACTGTAATCTCACCTAAGCTCCTTCCCAGCAATTTTTACCACTAGACCTCAGAGCGTTTTGCAGACAAGGTGAGTGACAATATCCTCATTTCATGAGGGATGAAACCAAGCCACAGAGAACCCAGGAGATTTGTACAAGGTCACAGCTTGGCCGTGGGCAACCTGGGGAGCAGAGCTCTGGAGCAGCCACAAAACTGAGCTGGATCCAGCTTGCAGGACTGGCCACTTTTTTAGCTGCACACATTTTAGTTGCTTCTCCCTCTGCATTTTCTATTGCTCCCCATAACAAATTCATCTTAGTGGGATCAGTGGAGTCTGATCAGGATAATATTATGCAAAGGAAAAAGTCTTTGGGAGGCTTTCTGTATCCCACTGATGTCAGACAGCTGCTTCCCAGCTCAGTGTAATCACTTCTAAATCTCACTGTGCAGGGGTGTGTACCCAGGCCTTTCAAAATGGACCAAAAAAAATAAAAAATAAAAAGAAAAGAGAGACAAATTTCTTCCTGAATCAAAAATGTGATGAATTCCACTTGAGGTTTGTCACAGACAGGAATCTGACACAAACTCTCCTCTAAGCACCCACACAGGCCAGGCCTTTCTCTCAGAGAGGGAAATATTAGCAGTGATATAAACACGTTTGTATAAATGTAATGTTCCCAAAGATGCACATAGCTTACAAGGAACAGCTAAACTTCCACTGATTGTTACCAGCCCAACGAGGGACTCTTCTTACGGCATCAGATGGGTTTCATTGTCTTTGTAAATCCCCCGGGGGCTCGAGTTTTGGGGGCTGGAAGCCGCAGTGAGCTGTAAGGTACCACTGGGAGCAGCTGCCATTCGTGTCTCTAACAGATGGCAGCAAATAATGACAGGCTGGGCTCTTCCAGCAACAGCCAGACAAAACCCTGAGAAATCCGAGTGTCTGTGGGGCTGGGAGCCCTCCTGCCCTCCAGGGGAGCCTCCTCCCATCCCAGATCCCTGTTCGGGGTGGGATCACCTTCCCTGGCTGGCAGAGCCCCTGGCTGCCTCCACAAACAGCTCTGCCCCTCCACTCTCAAACTGGCCAGGTCAGTCCCATTCACAGAGCAGTCCCTGGGAGCTCCCAGAGTTCTCTGTCCTTCCCAAAGAGCAGATTCCTGCACCCAGCCCTGCTGCACAGCCCAGGCACTGCCAGCTGCTCCTGCTTCACACCCTGCACCCTCAGCCTGGATCCTTTCCCTTCTCTGTGACTGAATCTGAGGAGAGGCTCAGAGCATCCATTTCCTTTCCAGCTCCATCTGCCTGCAGCTCTGAGGCTGCCCAAACCTCCTTCCCTTCCATCACCTTGAAACCTCCCTTTCCTTCCCCTGCTTAGCAGGAGCTCCCTGGGAATTCTCAGAGGCTGCAGATGGAAAATCCCCTAAAAAAGACACCAGGGGACTGTCCCAGCCTAAAATGCCCTTCCAGCTTGCAAACACCGCCATGGCCAAGAGAGTGCAGCTCCTCTGAATGCACATCAGTGACATTCAACACATTTTCTTCAACAGGTGCTTATCCAGCATGGAAGCAATTCCTTCCTCCTGACACCAGTTCATTTCCCTGGCTGTGCTGGGTGCTTTTATGAGCTTCCCCCCGGAGCTCCTGCCAGCACCTTGTGCTTTCTCCCCTCCTCCTCCTGGCTGAAGGGCCTGTCCAGGAGAGAGCAGATTTGCCTGATCAAAGCAAATGTAACTCGTCTCACAACTTCCCAGCCTCCGCATCTTGCCTATGGAAGGAGAGTACTAATAAGCCTCTCTCCTACTTGGAGATGAGTGGAAAAAAAAAAAAAAGAAGAAAAAAAAAAGCTGAATTCCCATCACACACACTTAAAGAGGTATTTGTTTAGGAGGGATGCATGTACAGAGCATCCTCCAGCAGCACACAAAGCCCTCCTGCCACCCACGCCTCCTGACTGCTGCCAGCAATTCCCTCCCTGCCCTGCTCCCTGCACCAGCACAGGATGCTCAGGGTCTCCACAGGTCACTCTCCCAAACTGGTTCTGACTTCTTTTTTCCCCTCTAAGAAATGAAGGGAAGCAGGAGGTTCCAGCACAACAGTAGGAAAATCTTGCAAAGAGCTTCTTGAACTGGCCTTGACTACGCAGAGGCTGAAGCTGTTTCCTGATCCTTGCCCTCAGAGCCTGCTGGAGGCTTGGCTTATTTACCCAAAACTGGGACACTAAACCACACTTTGTGGAGTATAGGGCAGAGTGCTGTGACCCACAGGATGTGGTGCAGCCAGGGAAGGGAAGCCTGCAGGGATGGATGGATTTTGTGCTCAGATGCCCAAAGGAGCACCTGCCCTGATGGGGTTCTCCGCTCAGGGTGCAGGTTGTGACACGTGCCAGCCACACAGGGGATGCAGAAGCCACCTCTGACAAGATGCCAGAGCAGCTCTGAGCTGAGGAACATGTGGGCATTGCTGGCAGAAAGGGATTTG